GGTGAGAATCTCTGTGCGCTATTTCCAGCTTTTCCAGTAATCTTCCTGCTCCCCATCATGTTTATGGTCTGTAGGCACAAGCTTTCACAAATACTACTTCCTCTAGTCTGTGGAACAGAGGCTCAGGACAGAGGGGATGGTGACACAGGAGAGACAGACTGTGTTCCTATTGCTGATCTGCCACGTAGCCTTGGGACAGCAATTTCATTTCCGTGTCTTAACATGACGATTCAACAGTAAACTCTTGTAAAGTACTGAGATGTCTATGAATAAAAGAACACTTTGCAAGATATCCTATTTAGCACTACTATTACTTCCCCTGGCAGGTTGTTCTCTTTTAGTACCTATCTTAGAAAACAGCGGTGTTTGAAGCAATACTCACCTGTCACCCAAACATGCAAGGAGTTACTAGATTTTGTCTTTCCATCTGCTTCCACAGTACATTCATAGTCTCCTGTATCTGAAGATCTAGACATAGGTATTTCATATCGTGCATCTCCTTTGTCTGATACAGTCATGAATACAATATTGCCATCCTTAAAAACTGTAAAATTATGCTTCAGCTGGAAATCGGTACTTTTGCTAATATCAGCATGGCAGACAATTGACAGAGGAGCTCCATTCTTCACTTTGACAGACGGCTGAACCTTGATTTCAACAGAGTTGAAAGTAAAAACTTGATGGGGAAAAAAAAAAGTTATATTTAATTTCAATTAGTCCAACATAATTCTGTTATCTCAAGCTGCTACATGTTAAACACAAAGACTAATTCATTGTACCCTAGTGTTGTAATTTTTGTGGTCAGATCTCACAGACGTTGACAGTGGTAGCAGCTTTACCTGCCACTGCACAGATAAACCAGAGGAAAATACTGATCATCACAGCACACACTGTCCAGCTGCAGTCTTTGCCTTGAGGGATTGAGAGAACCACGGATTTGGCCAAATCTACTAAATTCCCTAGAAGGCACAGAGGACACTGGAATACTTCTTGGTTTTCCTTATTTCTCATGGTTTGTTGTCTTCAACTCTAATTGGCAGGAGATCTGAGAGGTGAACAAGAATCTGCATTTATACTTGTCTGAATAAACTGAAAAATGACAGTAAAACCCTGCTTAGAGTTGTATTAAAACCCAAGTCAATTAATACCCAATTAGCAGAAATCCCTGAAGTTATCCCAGTAATTTTATCTGAAAGTAAGGTCAGGGTTATGTCATTCAGCAAATTCCACTTTAATCATGTAATCACAAGGTTGGGATAATCTTAAATCTCTAGTTTAGGATAACAGGAGCATAACAGAAGATATTTGGGTTCAAGTTCTGCAAGCAAACATGAACATGCCTTACTTTACATTGTTGGCAGTCCAGCAATCATACCGTGAAGATTTCTTAGCAATCAATTTGAATACATAATCATGTGCAGAAGCATATGCAGAAGCAATGCTTTCAATTAATTTAAAATTTAGATATGTAAGTCCCTAAAAAAAATACACTGAATACAATATTCCTATTTTTTAAAAATTAAAAATTTACAAGCACTTTAAGAAATTAAGCTTATAATATAATTGTTATATATAGTGCTTTGCTGTTTATAACCACAGCGATGATAAATAATTTGTAGTTTAAAATTCTATAATTATTGGAATCATGGTATAATTAATATTTTTAATTCACACAGCTAGATTAACAAGTATAGAGAGAGATTTATGAGTTCATTCACTTTCCCTTCCTTTAGAGCTTACAGCTTTTGGATATGCCCATTTTGGTCAGGACTTACATTAGAAATTTGCTACTAGAACAGGAAAACTTTCCTACATCGAAAGAAGTCTCTTACCATACGCATTTACCAGCTATTTATACAAATTGTCCTTGATAGAGAGAGTTTGGGGCATAAAACCAATACAAAAATTGCCTTTTTTTTTGCATGTGAGTAGACTACATGACGAGAAGCAAATGTTTCTCCCTAGTGATGGTAAAAAGGAAGTATGTGGAGTGTACGTGCTGGAAGTCACCAAGATCATAACGTAAAAAGTAAATGCATTCCTTTCAGAAGGTAAGTTCTGTCCTCTGCTCAGACACAATCTTTTCTTTTGCAAGAAGAAGAGCAAGAGAGACTGCCCTCAACTTATATTCTATAATATTATCCTATGTCCTCGCTTTTGGGCATGAGAGGGAATTTTTTAAGACCAAAATAAAACGCTGGTAATTAAACGTATGCTCCTATTTCTTCTCTTGTACACCTCAGTAAAGCAAATTACTCTAGGAAAGATATCACCAAAACAATTTTTAACTATGAGCAGCACGGCTCTCATTTAAACACTATATGGTGAATCATCACCAAGTAATAACTTTTTTAACACAGCCAAGTTTTGAACTGAGCTATAATACAGCAAATCCCGATAATCTCTGTTATGGATGAACACTAACAACTGAGGAACTAGTTAAATTATTTCTTTTAGATCTGTATGTGAGAAAACCATTACCTACCTCTCTCCTGAGTGTAAAGTCCTGAACCTGGAAAAAAAAAGAAAAAAAATGTTATTTTCAAAGCCTGCAGATTGAGAGACAGTAATGGGAAACAGTATAAAGCCCCAACAAGCCCCAGATGAACCAGAAACACATGTATCCACTCAGATATTTAGTTATCAAACTTACACTGCAAGAAAATCACCAGAAGAGCAAGATACATCTCGTTCCTGAAGAACAGACACTTAATTCCAAAATAAAGCAATATTCATCATCAGAGGTGATGGCTCCAGGTACCAAAAACAGGTTGGGTTTTGTTCCTGTTGTTTTATGGAAACAGATACAATTTTGCCATGAAAATTTGTAAGTTTTCACAGATCTTCAACAGAAACTGGCTGGATCAAGTAATCGTTCCCATTACTGGAAACTGGAAATGGCAAACAATGAGAATCTATCTGCTGCTCGCAGGCAGATTACTGTTCAGGAAGTGACTGGACTTTTCCTGAGGGCGCCACCAAATGCATTTGCTTTGTTTAATTTCTTAAGGTGTATGAAAAAAACAAGAAGTTCCAATGACATTTATCCTGCAGTTCCTGTCAATACGGGTATTTTTAAGCCATGATTAACCATTTATGAACACAAATTACCTTTGCTATTTCACCTCAGCATATCCTTGAGCAAATACTTCCCTTCATCCTGACACAGAGAATTCTTTCAGAGAATACAAGTACCTAATTATTCATTTTCCCCTTTAACTCCATGTCTAGGTCTCTCACCTTTGCTGTGACAAAGAACAGCTTCACTATAGGGTGCACAATAAATTCAAATTATCTCAGAAACTGTAACTACTGTTGTGTTAGACTAGAATACTGACAAGCAGATCTCACACGACCATCGCATAGCAAAAACATGGAACTGCAGAAGATTTTATGTAGTTAGGACAGCACAAAACATACACAATCATAAAACTTAAACCCCACAAGAAAAGAACCAGTTGGAGTTTCA